CAGTGAGCTCCTCGCGGGCCGCGAACCCCGGGCGCCCTCTCCAGGCGCCCAGGGCGCCGCTGGCAGAGCAGCTCGCGCCCCGGCTATGGAAGCTGTGCCGCCGAGCGTGCATGCGCCTGGCACAACCAGCGGTGCCCCAGAGACCGGAGAGAGCCCCGCGCTGTCCAAAGAGGACGCGCCTGGGAGCGACGGCGGGCGCAGGCCCGAAGACGAATGCCGGCGAGAGGGGCCCTTCCCCACGTGCCACGAGGCTGCGTCTGCCCTGGCCGCCGGGCGCGATCCGACCCCCGCCTGGCGGCCAACCATGCACGGCCTGCATTTCCCCGCAAAACCCCGCCAGGCGTGCAGCCGGAGCTGTCGCGAGCAGATCGCGAGCCCTCCAGCCAGGACAACGAGGCCGGTACGTTGGAGACTTGCGGCCAGAACGCACGGCGGCACCAAAGGCCCGACCCGCGCCAATGGCCAGGCCCCAAGGACCCAGGCACGGGACAACAGCTGTACAAAACAGGAATCAACAACATCCAGTGGGACCTCCCCGGGGAGACACCCGGCGACGGGATAAGACGACTCCAGGTCACACTGGGGCCAATCTTCACTGGCACCTGGCACGCTTTCGCCAAGCGGCAGTCCGTGCCCGGCAGCAAGGGCGCGCTCGACCCGCTTCGACGCGACCCGCAAACCTGCCACCTCTTCCTGGGAGCCTTCCGCAGCCACAAGTGCGACGTACGGGTCGTCAGCGACGCGCTGGGCCTAGACGTCGACTGGACTCGGCCGCGGCAGCTGCGCCGGGGTCGGAGCGGCGGAGCGAGCAGTGATTACCGCGCGGCAACGGGCCACCCGAACAACCAGGCCCCCAAGCGGCGCAAAAAACTGTGGTGGGCCGTCTCCCCGCAGTAGCCTTGCTGCCCCCCTCGTGGCCACGCTCACGCGGGGATCAGGTGCGTGGAGGGCGGTCACTGGCAGCAGGCCCGTCGCTGCCCTGCAAAACGCGGCCTGCGGAAGGGGTCTGGTCTGTGTGCGACGTGTCTCGACTCCTGTTTCGTGCAGAACTTCTACCCCTTCATCTTGGCTGTTGTCTACGTGCTGCGTGTGTTGCTATACCGTCGACTTCAGTATTTTTCTCTTCTGTCTGCGTGCTGCGGGTGTGGCTTTACCGTGGACAGTCTGGTTTTCTGTCTGAGATCCACTTTCTCTGTTGTCTACGAGTTGTGCACCGTACTCATCGGCGCGATTGGAGGTCTCATTCTTTCTCTCTCTTGGTTCTGACGGGCTGTTGTCGGACGTGTCGTGCATGCATCTCCTTGAGAACGGACTGCAGTGTGTGCGGACTGCGTGTCCCGCGGGTTCTCCTGTGGCCTGCATCCTGGCGCCGGGCTCCCAGGGGGGCCGCCGCTGGTCCCCGGGCCCGCCCTTTGTGGCTCTGGTACTCTTGCATCCCGTTTCTGTCGGTCTGCGGTGGCGGTGGCGCCCCTCTCTCCAGCGCGGTCCGCATGTGCCGGCGCACTGCCGGGGCGCCCCTGTAGCTTCCACCCCCCGCCGAGTACTTGTGTCCTGCGGCTTTCGGCTGCGCCCCCCCCCCGCAGGAGGCCGTGGAGTTGGACAAGAGGTGCAGTGCTGAAGTGTGGGCTCAGCGGCTGCAGCGGGGACGGACTGAGTGTCCCGCGGGCTCTCCTGTGGCTTGCATCCTGGCGCCGGGCTCCCTGGGGGGCCGCCGCTGGTCCCGGGTCCGCCCTCTGTGGCTCCGGTACTCTTGCATCCCGTTTCTGTCGGTCAGCGGTGGCGGTGGCACCACCCTCTCCAGCGCGGTCCATATGTGCCGGCGCACTGCCGGGATCCCGGCCCTGATCCCAGTTCCGCGCGCGCCTCCCCCCTCCCCCCGCAAGGGGTCAGGCCGCGAGTGCGAAGCTCCAGCAGCAGGTTCCACCCAGCCCCCAGAGGCCGAGAACGGGGCTCCCGTAGGGAACCTTGCGTCCGTGGACGAGGTATCTGGATCGGTGACTGCGGCTTTCGGCTGCGCCCCCCATCTTCCTTCATTCACAATGTCTCCGCGGCTTTCGGCTGCGCCCCCCACCGATCAACTGTGAAGATTGCATCGGGCGCAGACTGCCTGTGTTCAGCGGCTTTCGGCTGCGCCCCCCCCCTGCCGGAGGCCGTGGAGTGGGACAAGAGGTGCAGTGCTGAAGTGTGGGCTCAGCGGCTGCAGTGGGGACGGACTGAGTGTCCCGCGGGCTCTCCTGTGGCTTGCGTCCTGGCGCCGGGCTCCCTGGGGAGCCGCCGCTGGTCCCGGGTCCGCCCTCTGCGGTTCCGGTACTCTTGCATCCCGTTTCTGTCGGTCAGCGGTGGCGGTGGCGCCACCCTCTCCAGCGCGGTCCACATGTGCCGGCGCGCTGCCGGGATCCCCGTCCTGATCCCAGTTCCGTCCACTCCTCCCTGCCCCCCCCCCTTGTGGTCAGGCCGCGAGTGCGAAGCTCCAGCAGCAGGTTCCACCCAGCCCCCAGAGGCCGAGAACGGGCTCCCGTAGGGATCCTTGTGGCGTCCGTGGACGAGGTATCTGGATCGGTGACTGCGGCTTTCGGCTGCACCTCGCATCTTCCTTCATTCACAATGTCTCTGCGGCTTTCGGCTGCGCCCCCCACCGATCAACTGTGAAGATTGCATCGGGCGCAGACTCCTCCGTCTCCTCCTCCTCCTCCTCCTCCTCCTCCTCCTCCTCCTCCTCCTCCTCCTCCTCCTCTTCCTTCATTCACAATGTCTCTGCGGCTTTCGGCTGCGCCCCCCCGTTCAACTGGGAAGATTGCATCGGGCGCAGAAGAGCGCCCGCCCTGAGACCTGCCCAGGGAGTATCGTTCACAGCCACCTGTTTGCCCTGGCGGCGGAGGCATCCGACTGCTGCATGGGGTACGTGGAGGTGTTGATTTGCTGTGGCTGTCCTCCATACACATGGTGCTTGGCTACGTCAAGTGTGTGACCCCGCATCTAGTGGTTCAGCCTTCAGCGGTCCTAATTTGGTCGCACTCATTGGCGCAGCCATTGGGCAGCCCCAGCTACCAGGCTCGTCAGTACCTTGCATCGTGGTGCCCCCGAACTGCGTGAGTCGGATACGATGTGCATGCGCTGGCTACCGGCTGGAGGTGGCTCAGCCTCGTGAGCGCCCGCCAGTGGTCTACTCTGCTGAATGGCGCTCTGATGCGGTTCGGCCACACCTTTGGAAGTGTGCGGCCCTGCAGTGAGTGGTTCAGCCTTCTGCAGTGCGTGGTCGCCTCTCCAGTGCTGCCCCGGCCACTAGCCCTCGTCAGACTTTGCATCGTTGTACCCCCGAACTGCGTGAGTCGGAGACAATGTGCTCACGCTGGCTACCGGCTGGAGGTGTAACGGACGCGGCCGTCAGCCATGCATTCGGTGACCCGTTGTTTGGCTTCGTCATGGAGCGGCCCTGCATTGAGTGGCTCAGCCCTCTGCAGTTCGTGGTCGTTCCTCCGGCAGAGTAGTCTGCAATCAGCTCACGTCAGTACTTTGCATCGTTTTGCCCCCGAACTGCGCGAGTCGGGTACGATGTGCACGCACTGGGTTTGGCTGGAGGTGGCTCAGCCTCGTGAGCGCACCCCAGTGGTCTTCCTACTGCATTGCGTTTCGTCGCGGAACAGCTACACTTCAGTTTCAGTGAGCCTTGATGAGACAGGTCTCGTTCGCCGCACCATCGTTGACTCGGGGTGCCGCAGTGAGCCTGTGTTGGTCGCTCGCTTTGCTCTCTTCTTCCCCCCCCCCCCGCCTCCTTCCCCCCCGCCTCCTGGCCCCCGTTTGTGGTTCGGCTGGAGCTTGGCGCCGAAAGGGCGACTTCTCCCCCCCGTTCCGCCGCCGGTCGCCGCGCCGTGGCGTCCCCACCTGCTGGGATGTCTGTGCCTGTCACCTGCCGACTCGCCGCCGGTCGCCGCGCCGTGGTGGCCCCAGCTGGGACGTCTACGCCGGCCTTTGGCGTTTAATTTGGGTCATTCTGTCCCTCGCATGTGCATATGCCACTGCGGCCAATTAGCTTCGTTCGCGCCCCGTTCGTTGTTGACCCGCTTCTTGACCTTCGCCAGGGAGCCGCCGACCAAGAAGTATCACCAGGCGGGGGAGGAGGGTTTCTGTGGACCGGGCGCTGAGTGGTTCAGCCTGCAACGCCTGTGTAGCCTTTGGTCTTCCCCCGCGCACTGTCTCGGTTACACCGCACAGCCGTTCGGCTTGTGCAGGTCGGCCTGGAGTCTGGCGCCGCCCCGGCGACTCACTCCGTTGCCTCCGCACATTCTTGTCGGCAGCTCGTTTACTTCGGTTCACGCTGCTGCGCCTATGTGCGTTCGCTTGTGAATTTAGTTTATTTTTTCCGTGCGCGTGCAAGTGCGAGTCATCTTGCGGGTGCGATCTTGTCCGCCGACACTGGCGGCTTTGTTCGCAAATTTGCCCCGTCCCGCCACCCGGACGCCGCTTTCGCTCCTTGACCGTTGCCTTGGAGCCGCCGACCAAAAAAATATCACCAGGCGGTTGTTCAGTGCATGTGCAGGTGCGAGCTGAGCGTCCGCCGACTCTGGCTGGCGGCGAATTGTCTTGAAATTAGCCCCGCCCGTGGCCCGGGCGTTGCCTCCGTTTCCTGGCCGTAGTCTCGGGGCCGCTGACCAAAAAAAATATCACCAGGCGGCGCCACCGAAAATGGGTCTACCAGTTCTTTTCGCCCTTCTGAGCTGGCGCTCGCTGCGCATGTCTTGCTTTTCCGCGTTCCGCTTTTCCGCTGCCTAGTCGTGGCCTGGCTAGAGTTCGGACGCCTTTTGACCCGCTTCACGAGGCCGTTGACCCAAAAAATATCACCAGGCGAGCTGCCTGGTGCCTGGGGGCCTCCTGGGAGCCTCTTGCAATCGTTGCTTCATCTCCTTTACCCTTCCTGTCCAGGGGTGGCGGTGCAGGCAATTATGGTTGTTCCCTCTCCGGGGGACAGGGCGGGGCGGAGGGTCATCGAACGTGCCGCTCAGGTCATCTCTTGCGAGCCCCTGTGGCAGAAACGCGCGTACGAGGAGATCTGGCACAAGGTCGCCTAGCCATGAGCGGACTTGCAGAGGGGCTGTGAGGATCCTTGTCCGCCTCCGCTTGTGTCCTCCTCGGTATTATTTTCCTTCTCGTCGTGCCGTCGCTCGGCGCTTCTCCGCCAGAAATCCCCCCCTTGCCAGAGATCTTCCTCCTGGCGCACCCGACCCATCAGAACGATGCACTTGAGCATCTCTGCGCTGGCGTATGCAGAATCGTGCCCACTAGCATGACGTGGGCCATGGAAGAGACGACACGCAATGCTCCGCTCAAAAAAACGCCAGCAAAATACCCCCCACCCCTCCACGCGATAGTTCACCCTTTCCCCATCGCCATGGGTACGGCGGGGGCTAACACGCCGATCACCCCCTTCATGATAGTCACCGCATCCTCGGTGCATTCTCCACCCCATGCCCACCTTCTGAGGCACCATCGTGTCATGGTGATTTGGCTTTCCTTCAGGCCGTTTTTCCATCTGAGGTGCCCCCCCGCTCGTGAGTAGTGGCGCAACGCTCTGTCCAGGTTGGCCAATGCCCCATCGGTGAGTGCTCGGGTCAGCGGCGGCCGACCCATGTTGGTGCGCTGGGCGCGCTCAGGGCCTCGTCCAACAAAGCACCTCCTCAGGTGAGCCGCCCCAGGCCCGTGAGTCGTAGGCCCACCGAGAAACGCCCAGGGAGCGCCCAGGGAGCGCCCATGAGCTCGGGGCCTGGGACCCTTGCGAACTCCAAGTGGCGTGAGGTCACTCCTCTCTGCGTCTGCGGAACGATGTCGCGCAGATATGCCGCGTGAACTTGACGTAGCATTCAGTGTGAGCAGCGGGTGATGCTGGGCATGGTCAGTTCCTTCATTTTGAGTGTGAGCACCATGAGGTAAGACTAGCTGGCAAAGGGGTCTGGTGAATCAGGGCTCCTGGGGCATTCCGACATCCCGCATCGACTTAATCTGACACCCCCTGCGTCTGTTCCCGATTCCCCTTGGCATCTTCCCCTCATTGTCCTTTTATGTCTCCTGCTCCTTGCCTGGTTTTGTCACGCGTCATTCCTCTCCTCCCCGTCATTCATCTCCTCCGTTTCGTCCCGCTCCCCCGCTCCTCTATCTCCCCCTCCCCTCCCTCCCTCCCTCCGTTCGTGTGAGGGAGGAGGAGGAGGAGGAGGAGGACGAGGAGGAGGAGGAGGAGGAGGAGGAGGAGGAGGAGGAGGAGGAGGAGGAGGAGGAGGTCTAGTCACCACCTGCGGGGACTCACCCCCCCGCTCTCGGTGGGGGGGCCCAGGCCCTGGCCCCCTGCGGGCGGCGACCAGCGCGGCGCCGGGCCGGCGATGGCGGCCGCGGAACCCGCGACCAAGACGGGGGATTGCCCACCTTTCGGGCGGCCCGGCAGCTCTCAGAGGACTTGGGAGGCCTCCACCCCTGGCGCCACCGCGGCCCGCCGCGCCGCACGGCGCCGGCGCCTGGCGGCGCTCATTGCCGCACTCAGGACCAACGCCAGCTCCCACGCCGACGCCATCACCAACACTGACATCGGTATCAACAGCAGCATCCAGTGCATCGTGATACAGGGCAGCCACGACGACAGCCACGACTACAGCTACGGCCAGCACCGCTACGACCATCACGACTACGACCAGCAGTACCACAACCAGCAGCACCACGACTACAACCACGACCACCGCCACGACCAGGACTTCCTCACCCGCATCGCAAACAGCCCTTACGACAGTATCGACGTCAGCATGGGCGCCAGCATTAACGTCAACATCGAAGCCCACACCGACGCTAGCATCAGCTGCAGCGTTTGCTTCAGCATTGGTGCCAGCATCCGCGCCAGCATCGAGGACAGCATGGATCCCAGCATCAGCATCAGCATCGACGCCAGCACCGACACGAGAACCACCCCCATCATGGACGTCAGCTTCGGCGCCAGGAGCGACAACAACGCTGGCGCCAACATCGACTGCATAATCGAGGACCGCGTCGACCCCAGCACCGGAGCCAGACTGTGCGTCAGCGACACCAGCGTTGACCCCAGCATCGAAGCCAGCAGCGACGTCAGCATCGACACCACTGATACCAGTATTGCAGCAATCATCGACTCCAGGACAGCCTGCGTCGACGTATGCACGTGCGCTAGCACGAATCCAGCATCGACGCCGCCGCCGACGCCAGCATCGACCTCAGCCTCGGCGTGGGCATGCAATATAGTATCGATTTTAGCACCAGAACCCGCACCTACGCCAGCATCAACGAACACACCGTCCACCATTGACGTACAGAGGTTGAATGTGATGGCGGCGGATCAGGATCGGGTGGCGGCGGCGCATGGGCAGGCGGCGTCTGCAGCGGCTCGGGCGGCGGTTTGGGGGGCGGCTGGGATGGGCTTGGCGTCGTCGACGGCAGAGACGGCGGTGGCGGCGGCTGGGCCGGCGGCGGCGGCTATGGCCCCAGCACCAGTGCCAGACTTGACGCCGGCACGGATGTCAGCGCCGCCAACGTCAGCAACGACGCCCGCACCACCCTCGCCATCGACGCCAGCACCGACGCCAGCATCAACCCCGGCATCAGCGCCAGCGCCGCACGCGGCGTCGACACAGGAGCCAGCAGCCGCGTCACCACTTACGCCAGCATCGACGCCAGCACCTTCGTTAGCATCGACCCCCGCATCGAGCCTAACCCTCGTGGCGGCATCGACGTCAGTTTCGACGCCAGCTTTAACGACATCACCGAAACTCACGCCGATGACAGCGTCAACCACAGCGCTGGCCCCAGCCCCAGCGCCAGCACCGGCGCCAGCATCGATGACAGCATGGGCCCCAGCATCAGCACCAGCATCGACGCCAGCACCAACGCGAGCATCGCCCCCAGCATCGACGTCAGCATCGACGCCAAGATTGGCAACGGCATCGGCGATCGCGCCGGCGCAATCGCCAAAGTGAGGAACCGCGCCATCTGCGAAGCAAGCATTGACGTCAGCACCGACGCCAGAACTCACCCATAATCGACGCCGACACTAACGCTAACATCGACCATAGCATCGACACTGGCACTGGATACATCATCGACTCCAGCACGGGGGCCTGCGTCGACGTCCGCACCGGAGCCAGGATCGACCCCGGCATCGAAGCCAGAGCCGACTCCAGTGTCGACGCCAGCACCGAAGCGCGCATCGAGAACAGTAGCGACCCCAGCACCAGAGCCCGCGCCCACGCCAGAATCGACAACGCCACCGACCCCAGCGCCCAAACGATCCCTCGCAACAGCATCGACGCCAGCATCGACGCCAGCTTCAACGTCGACATCGACGCCGACGCCATCGTCGACGCCAGCATCGCAGGCAGCGCCGGCCGGCGTCAGCATCGACTACGACATCGAAGATAACATGGACTCCAGCACTGGAGCCAAACTGCTCGTCAGCGACCCCAGCGCTGACCCCCGCGTCGAAACCAGCAGCGACGCTGGCGCCGACGCCAGCGCCGACTCCATTATTGCAGCCGGCCCCGATTCCACCGCAGCCTGCGCGGACGTCCGCGTAAACGCCGCTAGCGAATGCAGCGTCGACGCCAGCACCGACGCCAAGCATCGACCCCAGCATCGACGTGCGCATCGAGGACAGTATCGATTTGGGAACCAGGACCCGCATCAACGCCACTATCAACACGCACATAGTCCACCATCGACGGGCAGAGCGTTGGTGTGACGGCGGCGGAGGTGGCAGGTGGCGTCGGCAGCGACTTGGGCGGCGGTTGGGGAGCAGGCTGGGCTGGACTTGGCGTCGTCGACGGCGGAGACGGCGGCAGCGACTAGGGCGACGGCGGCGGCCGCGATGGCCCAAGCACCAGCGCCAGACTCGACGCCGGCACTGACGCCCGCGCCGAGATCAGCACCGCTAAAAGCAGCAACGACACCCGCGTGGATTCCAGCACCGACGTCAGCATCGACGCCAGCACCGCCCCCGCCATCGACACCAGCACCAACCGAATCATGAGACCCAGCATCAGCAAGACGGCATCGACTCCAGCACCTGAGCCAGCACTTACGTCACCGCCAACGCCATCATCGACTCCAGCACCGACGCTGGCACCCGCGCACGCATCGAACGCCGCGTCGAAACCAGCCCTTGCGACGGCGCCGACGTCAGCGCCGACGCCGGCATCAACGCCAACACTGAAACCCACGCCGACGCCAGTTTCAATTAGAACGCGCGCATCAGCATGGAGCCAGCATCCGCGCCAGCGTCGAGGATCGGATCGACCCCGGCGTGATGTCCAGCATCGACGCCCGCGCCGACACGAGCACTGCCCCCATCGGCAACGTCGGCGTCGACGCCGGGATCGACGACAGCATCAGTCATTGGTCCTAAACGTACCCTTACTCGGGGTCGGCCTGGGTGAAAAGGGCCGTCCGCTGGCTTGGGCGCTTGCCACTGCGCCCGAGCAGCCTGCCGTGTGCGCGCGGGTTGCGCTGGTTCAGCATCCGCGCGTCAGGACGCAACGACACGGTGAATTTGTCTCCGGCCCTCCCTGGTACGACGCCGTCGCCGGATCTCGGCATGAGGCCGATGACCGGAGGGCCCAGGAGCGTTCCAGAGCGGGTTCAGGACATTGAGGATCAGGTCGCAGCCAGGGCCGAACGAGAGAGATCCCCCCGACGTGACAATGGTGCTGGTCGCTCAAGGCGTTCGGAGAGAATGGGGGGACCTCGTAATTCCTGGCGTGCGCCGAATCGTCGGGGGGGGGTGCGAGTTGAGGTCTGCCAGGAAAACCTTTCTTCCTCCGCTTTAGAGGGCGGAGCTCGGCAAATCACGGGAGAGCCACCTAGTTCCCAGCGCGAGACAGAGATCTTCGCTGCCAACCGAGGGGGGGGGAATTGTTTGGTCCAAGCTCACTCCCGCCGAGAGGGCCAAGTTTGAGATTTCCGACGGGGCCGAGTGGAAAAAAACATTGAGAGGTCTGGGGCCGCGCGCATCATTCCTCCCAAGAAGGCGAAGATATCCGCGAGATGCAGTCCGAGAGGATAATCTCGTCTTGCATGGTGAGCCGATGGAAACCCCTGGAGGGGGCGTCTGCGGAGCCGACAGCAAAGTCCAGGTGGTGTGTCCATGGCCATCAGGACCCCGACACAGGCACCCTCGCAGTCTTTGCGCTGACCCCTCAGCCCGCTTCCCTGATGATGTTCATGCAGGTTCTGATGAATCACGGCATGTACGGAGACATAGCTGACGTAAACAATGCATTCTTTCAGTCGAATCCGATGGAGCGAGACGGTGGACCCATGCACGTCGAGCCCTGCAGCGGAGTTCGAGTCGAGGATGGAGCACTCATCGAGCTCATTGTAAATGTGTACGGCCTGGGCGATCCTCTTGTCGCGTGGCGGAAGACCGTGATTCAGTTTCTGTCCGATCATGGGTATGTGAGGTTCCTTGTTCGAGCCCTTCTGGTGGTTGAAGCATGCGAAAGGGAACGACCTCGAGAGCATGATACTGCTCGAAGTCGACAATTTTGTTCATGGCATCGTCAACTCCCGAGGTCAGGCAGCAGGTGCGAGTGATGTTGGAGTCTAGGTTCCGTTTTGGGAAGTGCCAGGACCTGCGCGCGTCGCCGGTGGACTGCGCCGGTCGTAGGATTCCGTGGACACCCCAGCACATCGCAGTTGACAAGGAGAAATACGTCCTGGAGGAACTCAGGCCCCTCAGCATGTCTCCAGGGATGCTCAGTAAGAAGGGCACCCAGTAGGACCCGACAGAGTTCAAGGCCCTGAGGCCCCTCGCATACAAGCTGAACTGGGTAGGTCGAGAGACGCGTCCAGAAGCGTCAGGGGTAGCGAGTATTCTGGCATCAGGGTTAAGACAGGCGACTTTTTGGGACGTTTCGCGGGCCCACTAGCTGGTGCGTCATCTGAGGAACACGGCCTCCCGAGGCCTGTCGGCGTGGCGTCTCGATCCCAGCAAGGTGGCCTTCATTACCTTCTGACGCCAAAGGGGTAGGGGCCAGCGCCAGCGGGGTCGATTCCAAGGGGCTCCCAGAGGATCCGACTCAGGGGGCGTGGATGGTGCTGGCTACCGATTAAAGTGCGCTGCAGAAGCGCTCAGTGAGAGCGTCGATTCTCGGGCGGAGGTCGTCTAAGCTCAGAAGAAGGTTCCATCCACCCTCGCAGGCGAGACGCTGGCCCTCGCATCAGCAGTATGTCGAGTACTTGCAAGTGTTGTACAGAAGGGCAGTATTCCTGGATGGAGATATTCCAGAGTGTTCGAGAGCTGCAGGACCGTTTACCACTGTCTTCCGACAGGACTGCAGGCTCGGACATCGAGAGCGGCAGATTCATGTAGTGGATGCCAAGAGTATTTATGATACAGTGGCGAAGGACGGGACAGCAAGTGCGAGGGATCGGAGGACGGCTCTGGATTTGGCGATCATTTGTGGGTCGCTCGAGCGATCGAAGGGAGTCGTGAGGTGGGTGCCACGCTCTAGGATGCAGGTGGGCCCCCTCGCGAAGGACGACGTTACCAAAGTTGAACGCCGCCCTGTTTGACCTGATGGCGTCTGGCCGCCTACTGTTGGTAGATGAGGAACGAGATCAGGTCGGCAGGCGGGAGGATCCTTCCCAGAAGGCGAGGTCAAAAACTGTCTCCTTCAGGACATTCGCCAAGGACTGGGCGTCCGTCAGTTGGACGTCATTTGTGTCCGAGTCCGGTGCCGAGTCCAGCGGTTCCGGCCAGTTCCAGTGATCCCTTCTCCCTCGTTCTCCTATCCTAAGTCTTGCGTGTCTGCTGGCGTGCGGTGCGGGTACACAGGGGCAGGTGACAATCACCAAGCCCGTGTGCTGAGGCATGTTTTCACACCCTTGGGTCAGCTAAACCTGTTAGAAAGGTTGACCAGTGTGAATCTCTGGCACAATGTTGTGTTTAGGTTTAACTTTTAGTTTCCTTGACCCGGGCCCAGGGGATTGAGCCCTCTCTGGTAACTGTACGCCATACTGGCTCAAGTCCAAAACCATTTGCTGCTGCTCCTGCTGCCACGCAGTGTCTGCAGTCTCCGACGTGTTTTCCCGATCGGAACGTTTTCGATGCTAAAAGATGTTGCTCCCCGAGAGATCCGACACTCCAGAAAAATTGGACCGGCGGGATTTGGGCCGTTCGCGGCCCTCCAGACAGAATAACAAAAACAGCTCGGGACGAAAAACCAGTTTTGGGGAAGTGGTGCGGACCTTAGGGGCGCACGCACCCAAAAATATTGGAGCAGTCGGATGTCTGGGCCCGCTGCAACGTGGGCCTCGCTCTAGGATCGGCGCTTTGTTGCCGTCGTTCACCCTGGCGCTCTCGCCCCCGCCCACCTCTCTGGACCCGTGTCCTTCCTCATCATTGTCGCCCCCCTCCTTTCCCTTCCTGCGCCTTCCCCTAGTCCTCCTGCTCCTCCCGCTCCTTCACGCCAGCTCCTGTTCCTCGTCCCCCTCTTTCCTTCTCCTCCTCTCCTCCTCCTCCTCCTCCTCCTCCTCCTCCTCCTTTTCGTCCTGCTCATCCTCCTGCTCATTCGCCACCTTCATTTCCAATGTACGCAGCTCACCGTTCCCCACTGTGCGCAGCCTCATGGGTTTCAGCTTGGAGTTCTAGGTCCTTCATTGCAGGCGTCGACGAAAAGAACAACTATTCAGCGCAATGGCAAAGCCTGGGTGGGAGGGACAGGATGTCAGATATGGCGCGAGCAAGTTCAGCTTGCCCGTATCCTCTCATCCTCCTCCCGCTCCATTTTTGGGATTCCCTCCCGTCGAGGTGAGCGTGGTGGAGGCAGCAGGCAAAACGACCATGGACGAGATCCTAATCGACAGTACCGTCGATGCCTTGGACGAGCCCCTGGGCGCCGTCTGGGTGCTGGATCCCGGGGGGCACTGAGTCTATGCCCCCACCTCTTCATCGTCTCTTTATCTTCGGCCTTGCCTTCGTCTCCGTCGTGGCCTTCGTCATAGTCGTCTTCACTGGCGTAGCCGTCCCTTCTGGCCCGTGTCTTGCACAAGTCCGAGCCCTATCGATGTTCTGTCAGGCGCGCGCGCTGGCAAACGGTCGTGCAACCCGCAACCCTCCGAAAAGCATTGCAGGTTGGGCCTCGTTCTCCTGTTGGGTTCGTGCGTGTGATCCCGCTGGCAGTTATACTTAAGTCTGTCTCCCTGGTCACGATCCGTCGCACGAGTTCGTCCATCCCAGATGGAGTGTGGCGTCCGGGGTTTAATCTGGGGCTTAGTCCGAGGCTCCAAGTGATCCGCGGCGTGTCCCTTGGCGCGTCTCCCCCTGGTGCGTCGCCTAGCACGTTCCCTGGCACGTTCCGTGGCGCGTCCCGGTGCGCGTCCCCTTGGCACGTCGCGCGGCGCGTCCCGTGGCATGACCCGCGGTGCGTCCCCATGGCACGTCCCCTGGCACGTCCACTGTCGCGTCCCCTGGCGCGTCCTTTGGGACGTTCCGCGGCGCGTCCCCCTGGCATGTCCCACGGCGCGTCGCGTGGCACGTCCTTCGGCGCGTCCCCTGGCACGTCACCGCGCGGCACGGCACAACGCAGCGCAGCCAAACACAGCCTCTGGCACAGTATCATCACCATCGACATCTTCAGCATTGCCACCGCCCATCGCCCAATCGAGGACCTTTGAAACGTTTCTATGCCGCGCAGTTCTAGATCCCTTTCCGGGTTCGTGGGTCGATCGTGTGTTGGTCGTCATTTGCTTCTTCCAGGGATGATGTGCGCACTCCTGCATGGTATGCTCATATCTGGCGCCGACCCTGGCTGAACGATCAAACAGCAATTGCTCACGTCATGTTGTGCTTTGAGTGTTTTTCGGATTGATATTGGCTCGCCCTGATTTGCCGACTGTGCCATCCTGTCTTTCACATGCAAGCTCTGTTCTTGGTGGTTGAGCACTACAGGATGCTTCTCGCATCGGGAGGCGCCCGCCCACGTGCCAATCAGAAGCAGCAACACCATGACGACCTCCCCATCCTTCCTCCCTGGACGCGGCATTACAGCAGACTGTGTGCCGGCGAAGGCCAGCCGGAGCCGCTGCCGACCAGCACCGCGGAGGGGCGCATGCATGGAGGGAGCAGGAGGAGGAGGAGGAGGAGGAGGGGGAGGAGGAGGAGGAGGAG